CCTGGTCAAATGCAGAAGGCTGACAGCCATGTGGAAATGGGTCTGCTCGAATAACAGAAGAGGCTTCTTCCTTGTACACAGAATGCCACTAACAAGCTATAAACCCTGGGTAGTCAAACAGTTGGCACCACTATTTCTTAGATCCTCATATTAGGACTCATTAAGAATTAAACCAAGCTCTCTAGACTGCTAACTAGTGATCTGGGGTCCAGAAATCTCCAGTTTCTGATTTCCGAAGGTTTCTAAAGATGTTTTGGTTTGCTTTGGGCTCAGAATTCCTGTTTGGTTCACAGGAAAATGGAATTCTCACCTCTGTGAGGTGGGAACAGTTTTATATCCTCCGATATATGTGCAAGAGAGGAGCTATTTCCTTTCTACTTGCTCAGGCTTTTGCTTATCAAGCCCCCAGGATTCATAAATTTCAGCTCATAGATCTTTATTGTAGACAATTAAGAACATTCTAGCCTAGATCCCTTTTATGAAATGGGTCTTCTGTGTTGTAAATGATTTAGTGGGAACTAAAACATATTTACGGATTCATAATTGCATGTGATGCCAGTGACGGGGTTGGGAAATGAAAGAAGTGTTTCTTTTCAAATAAAATCACACTCAATGGAATGTTAGCTTCTTCCTTCCTTTCTCAGGCTAGATGTTAATCCTGCGGTGCTGCTGTCATTCTGAAATTCAAAGGAAACCTTCCTTTCCATACATATACGTATATTTGAATGTAGGTAAGCCAACTTGCGTGTTTTTAACTGATGCTGAATGTTACTGGCAAATCAGTAATAGTAAGTGAGAAGAGGAGCCATTGGACCAGAATAAGTAATATTGACACCAGACTGTAAAAAAGAATTATGGCTTCTTACCCTTCAGTTCTTTCCATGAAGCCTTCAGGGTGACAGCTCTTAGGAGTTAAAAGAAGAACTTTTACATTTTGACTTAAAAAGGAAAAATTAACTATACACCCCAACAATGCTGACCTAGTATTTCTTAAAGGATCATAGAGAGGACAAATCATTTGACTTGCCCCAGTGTGTTGGCACCAATCTGCTCTTGCAGACCAGATGGTGCAACTACCATGTGAGCACAAGCATGCCTTGTTTAATTGTGCTTGTATTAGCTTCACGGATAATGCATTTTCTACAAAGTGAAGGTTTATGGCAATCCTGCATCGAGCAAGTCTGTCTGCGCCATTTTTCCAACAGCATGTGCTCACTTTGAGTCTCTGTGTCACATTTGGGTAATTCTCTTTTTCATTATGATCCTTTGCAGTGGTGATCTGGGATCAGTGATGGTTGATGTTCTTGTTGCAGAAAGATTATGACTCCCTGAAGTCTCAGATGATGGTTAGCAATTTTTAGCAATACAGTAGTTTTAAAGTATGTACATTGTTTTGTTTGTTTTTGGTACAGTGCTACACTAGAGTGTAAACAAAACTTTTATATGCACTGGGAAACCAAAAAGCTCCTGTTACTCACTTTCTTGTGATAATTTGCTTTATCAAGTGGTCTGGAACCAAACCCACAATATCTCCGAGGTCTGCCTGTACAAGGAAAAGTTGAATGTGGTTTATTCAAACTAGAAATATTTATCGAGTGCCTTCTGTAGTCTGTGTCAACTATATATCTAACTTGAATGCTTAACAAGTTCATAGTAAAATGTTGATAAATGTCTAAAACTAATGTCGTACATGCGTAGTGTCACATGGAATTTGGGGCCAAGTGGATTGGGGAATGTGGCATAAACTGTAGCTTAACCTCACACCACTGTCAAAGAAGGAAAAGGATTTAGGGGGCAGGTGAACTCCCTAGTAAATAAGAGCATGCAGTCAGGACGGTAAACTGTGTCCTCAAAAGGTTCTGAAGGCAACGGAGAAATCATAGTCACCGAGGAAAACCTGACTTCCCACCATAAGGCGTTACGTATCAGAGAAGTGATTATTCCTGCAGAAAGAAATTACTGGCCGTTTGTTTCTTGTTATAGTCTCTAGGTCCCTCCAGGCATATCACAGCTTTGCACATTTCCAAGAGTAAATCAGATATGGAGCTTATGCCCAAGTCCCTAACAAGCTAGTTGGGGAAGTAAGATATGTAATAAATGATTCTAATAATGATGGAAAGGAAGATAAGTCTCATGAGCTATAAAGTGTGACAGACATAGTGCGCTGCCCAGATCTTCCTTCTGCAAGGCATCTGTTGCAGAGAGGGTAGTTAACAGGACCCACTGCTGGGCTTCTATCCCGTCCTCCTTCCTCCTCCCTCCATCCCCTCCTATCACACACTAGGTACCAGACTCGAATCTCGGTCTGAAGCCTCCTGTCCTCACCACTTTGCCTTTCAGAGGAGAGTCTCCTAGTAAAGCTCTTGCATTTCTTCTTCTTTTTTTTTTTAATTGAAGTACAGTCAGTTTACAATGTTGTGTCAGTTTCTGGTGCACAGCACAATGCCTCAATCAAACATGAATAGCTCTTGCATTTCCAATTCTATCTTGACATCTCTTTTCTGGAAGCCTGAACTGACATTTAAAGCTGAATTACTTTGAGATTCAGAAAAGAGGTTTGTTCCTTCATGTGTAGGGATTAGGAAAGACTACAGAGATAAGAACCCTTTCAAGGTCGACCTTTCTATGAAGTAGGTATAAGTAGAAATAGTCTTTGAACTATTGAAAACTAAGCCTGAAAGGGTTCATAGCAATGCATCTTAACACGATTCATTGACTCCTAGAGTGATTCTTCATTCACTTCCACACCAATAATAGCAAAATTCCTCAGTGAAATTCCATGAGGTCTTTTTCCCACCGTGGATGCTAGCAGATAGTTTATATTAACTTAATTTCTCCTCTTCTTACTCCATAGATAAGGAAACCACAAAGTTGCAAAGTTCCACAAATCACTAGGGACAGCCAAGTATCAAAGTGAAGAGAAAAAATGTTCCACTAATGATCTCAGCCTGTGAAATACCCAGATATAAGCCTTTGAGAAAAGAGAGCATTTGTGTCTAGAACACCACTCTTCATTAATTTTCCTAAAACATATATCACTTGCTGAAAAATCTTCAGTGGTTTTTCATTTCCCAAAGAAGTTTCAGGGAACTTTAGAGTTTCAAAGTGCTCCTCACCCACAGAAAGACAGGGGTGAAGAGTTCTGTGGTCAAATGAGATCAAGAAACTTTTTGTACCACGTTCTGTTCTGGTTCTGAAAGTTCCAGAATAAAGTCATACAACTCCAATTGATTTCAGTGTTTCCTAAACTTACTTGATCCCAGAGTTCTTAATTCAGCTACTAAATAACTAGTTCACAGAATTCATCTTTTTTTTTTGAGAAATTCCAGCTTAGAAAAGAAAGTAAAATTTACTGCATGCCCACAGATAGATAGATATTTTTACTTCACAAAAGTTTTGTTTTATTCTAATCAAAACATAATATATTAATTAATACTAAAAAATGAAAGAAAAAGTTAAAATTATCTCTTGATATCCCATCAACCTACACCATTTAATGTTGAATTTCCTTCATATATCTCTTGATAGCCACACATACAGAAAATGATACATAAATACCATAATACTATTTCATCATGAGCACCACACCTCTCTTTCCTCCCCTCCCTCCCTCATTTTCCCTCCTAAATGGTGCCATTGCCCCATTTCTCCCCCCACCAGCTGGGTGACCATGGTAACAAGCTGCTGTGTAACTTTTGTACCTTCTTCAGGCTTTTGTGTAAACATACACATGAAGTGTTTAGAAAAATTTTTCTTACTAAAATGGAGAATTACATACACACCTCTATGTTTTAGTTTTCACACTTAATACCTTGAGAAAGTCCTTCTGAGTTAATCATTGTTAAATGGCTGCACAACTGTATATGGTATGAAGGCATCAATATTTCTTCAATTGTTTTCTTATTAATGGAAATTTGCTTTCAAAAAAAATCCTCTACAACGTTGCTTTAAAGTCATCCTGAATATATATTTCTATAGACTTTTGCACTTACTTCTATGAGATGGATTTTAAGATGACTGGGATTTCTAAAGCTTCCAGGATTGAGATTGCTGAAAAAAAAATTCTATATGTATGCTTTCAATTTTAATGGGTGTTATTAGATTGCTTTTCAAAATGTTGTAACAATTCTTATTTCTACCACCAAGTGTAAGAGAGCCTTTTCTCCTGTGGTGTCTTTCATTCCTTTTTATAATTGCAAATATTACAGGGTTCT